TTTCTAGATTTTACTCAATGACTGTATGTGATTTAAAAAGCATTTAGAAAAGAGAGGTAGAGAATGAGTCCACAGGTCCTACAAGGAACAAATAAACCCATGGAAGCCCTCAGGCAATGTTTCTCAATCTGGATGCATATTAGTATCACCTGGGGAGTTTTAACAACATCTCAATAACCAGGCTGCCCCAAGACCAATTAAATAAAAATCTCTGGGGCTAGAAGCCCGGCTTCAATAGTGTTCAGAGCTCCCAAGTATGTTCAAGGTGTAGCCAAGGTTGAGAACCACTGTCTCAGGAGACCTTCTGCATTTCCTTGCACTTGGTAGGCCATGGGTCCCCACAATCAAGCAAGGCCCCGAGAGAAACATCATGTTCCTTGGCCCCCAATATCAACATGACTTCATTCATATTTCAGAATATTTTAGAAACGGATCAGGGCTAGAAATTACTTTGGCCACTAGATGGATTTAAGAAGAAATGGCGAACCTAGCCGGTTTGTCTCAGTGGGTAGAGCATTGGACTGTGGACTGAAGGGTCCTGGGTCCAATTCTGGTCAAGGGCACATGCCCAGATTGAGGGCTCGATCCTCAGTAGGGGTCATGTAGGAGGCAGCCAATCAATGATTAATGTTCCGATCTCTCTCTCTTTCCCTCTCCCTGCCTTTCTGAAATCAATAAAATATATATTTTAAAAAAGAAGAAGTGGTGGGAACAGGATGCCAGTTAGAATATCTGGGTTCTTTGTGTCATCTGAGAGCTAGTTACTCTTCTCTGAGCCTCAGGATCCTCACACCTCTTGCTGTTAGGATTAAATTAACTAAAATCCATGAAAAGAGTTTTGCAAAATATAAATTACTATATAAGTATTATTATTTTTAGTATTTTATAACTAATAGCATGAAGAATGTGCTCAGAGAAAGATGATATCTGAGGAAGACACAAGAAAGATGGACTTACTCCCCTATAGGAGACCTCAGCCTCAGGATGGACAGGGAGACCAAAGCTCAACAAGAGGGGATAAGTCTGTGAGCTGATACCAAAAGCAACCTGACAGGCCAAACATGAAACACTTCTTTCTCAGAAATCCAGAGAAGAGACTCTGAGAAAGATCTTCCCTTTGCTTTTCTGTTGGCTTCCAGGAATTTATACCAAAGTAGTGATGTCCCAGAATAAATAAGTTTTCTTCTCATAATTAAGACAGAGATTCTAGGAATGGGCTGAACACAGGCTGAATTCATTACTGAGATTGCTTACAATTTAATTCAGGTCCTAAAGAGATGGTCCCTATGTGTCATCAAAAAATAAGTTTTGGCCCTGACCGGTTTGGCTCAGTGGATAGAGTGTCAGCCTGCGGACTCAAGGGTCCCAGGTTCAATTCCAGTCAAGGGCATGTACATTGGTTGTGGGCATATCCCCAGTGGGGGGTGTGCAGGGGGCAGGTGATCGATGTCTCTCTCTCATCGATGTTTCTAAATCTCTATCCCTCTCCCTTCCTCTCTGTAAAAAATCAATAAAATATATTAAAAAAAGAAAGAAAAAATAAGTTTTGCATCTAGACAACAGTTTACATATATCTCTAGAGTGACTTTTTCTTTTCCTTTGCACTTCATTTATTCTCTGAAAATCATGGGCCATGGAAAGAATTTCAATGCAACACTGTCCATGGGAGAAGCTCAACATTAGATAGGGCCATCTGAGAGACCATTCGACATGGGTAGTAACTGAAGAAAGTTGAAAGCCCCTTAAGAACAAGAACCTTAATGTTGGACCCAAAAAGTACACAATGAATCAATGCTTTGGAAGTGCCTCCTGCAGGCACAGTTCTTAGCTCATGCTAGGAAATCAGTAAGTATCTGTGGGATGAATATCATTGTAACCAGGTCTAACAAACTAAAAAAATGTCCATTGTTGTACAAGTGTGTTTCCCTTTTGTTCACTTTAGGCTACCCAATATTGGCTGCAACTTCTCACATAACGTGGATTTATTGTCCCATATTCTCAGGGTCTACACTGAAGATAAACCATAGCATTTTTTTTTAAAATATATTTTATTGATTTCTTACAATCTTCAGGAGTTATGACTGTTGCAGTAATCCAGGCAAGAGATAAAGGAAATCTAAATAGTAAGAGTGACAGTGGGAAGAAGAAAAGTGGGAAACTTTCAAACCAGGTTTCTGGCTTGGACACCTGAGTGGATGGTGATGCTATTTACTGAGATATGCAGGAGGTATAGTGTTGAGGGAAAATAGGATGAGATGAGTTATGGACATACCTAGTTGTAGATGCCTGTCTATCATCCAGGTGGCAGTGTTGAGTAGACCTTTGGATACACAGGTATGAAACTCAGAGAAGGCAAATTCTTGAACACCATCAGCATATAGCAGTAATAGAAATCCAGAAAGAATGAGCATCAGGAGAAGAACAGTAAGAACAGTTTCAGGGAGAAGGATCTGACAGAAACCAGCAGCAGAGGATGGAGGAGAAGGTAAAAATGGATACAGCAGAAAAGAATAGAGGGTAGTATGGAAGGGGAAATGAAATCCAGTGAAAGATTTTTAAAGAGAGGAAAGACATGTTTAAATGCTAATGGGAAAGATAAAATGAACCTGTTAGGCAGCACTGTATCGGTCCAGGACCATACCTGGTCACTACTTTTACTTCTGTCTTTCAAAAGTAGAACAAGTCTCTTTGTTGACTGACTCTAACTCAGAATCGTACAAAAATGAAATTCTAGGAAATGTAGTTCTCAGTTCATCCAAGTTCACATAGCACAGTCCAACACAGTCCACCCCTTGTCAACTTGGTATCTACACACACTTCTGTAGACATATATAACTTCCAAATAAAAACACCAAGACCATGCTTTTGTATAACAAAATTCAACTGTCTATATTGGTACAACTGAAAATACACAAAAATCTAATAAAAGGATACACAAAGTCTACTTTGTCCATTCTAAAGGGCAAAATTTTGCCATCCACCTGGCACTAAACTGTGTCTTCAAGAGGCTACTACATAATTCAAGCAGGTCAGCTACTTCCAGGTGATGGGAAAACTAGTACTTCTCCACTCATTATCTGCAAAATAAGTTCTGTAGTTTAAAAAAGAGAGAGACTGTATGGATACCATGATGATGAATAAACCATTCTGTAAGTCTATAGATGGGGGAGGGGTGGTTGAAAGAAACACCATGGGAAGGAAAGGCAAATCTCTTTCCAAAAAAGTATCTGTTCTAGTGAAAACAATGCCCTTTCACTTCCGTGGTGGAAATGGCCCAATGTAATCAGCCTGATGCCAGGTGGCCTGAAAAGCAGTGTCATATCCCCAGTTGGTGTTGATCTTCACTATTAGCAGTTGGGGACTCAGCGGTAGCTTTAATGAGAGGAAGTCCATGTAGACAAGATGACCTGCTTTGTAGATTCAGTCAGCCTCTTTCACCAGTCACTCCTGTCCTTGCCCAACCACTCATATATAAAGTGGCCATGGTCATCTTGTTTACCTGATTATTAAGATCCTTCTCTGGTAAGATTGCTCTTGGTGAGCAATCCCCTGGCACAGCAGTATTATAATATTCAGAGGGGACTATCCTCATATCTCTTCTCCATATTTCATTTCCTCCAATTTTCTAATCATCTTCCTTCCAAGTCCATAGCCAATCAACCAAACCCTTAGTCATTGCTCATAAATTAATGTAATCCATAGCTTTGGCCATTTCTCCTTCTAGGCTAATGAACTAACCAGGTGCAATGGTTGGAGTTTGGCCCACTGCGAAAATTTCTCTTTCACATTGTCATTCATGGCCACACTTCAGTGGGGGTGTAATGCTGTAGGGTAGGTATCCAACTTCAGTTCTGCCAATATTTTTGGTGGAAATACCTGACCGACTTTTTTCTTCCTTAATCAGGTGATCATAAAGATTGCCCCATGAGACCACAGAGGCAGATTGAAAGAGGAGACCCAATGTAGCAGAAACAGCCTTTATGGTAATATGAGCCACTTATTAATGAAATTTATTTATGTCTTCAGGACCTGCTTGAGCTGATCTCTTACATATATCATTCCCACTTGATGGTGATATCTCAGAAGTATATAGTAATTTACTATTATTACTTATAAACTTATCACAGGTATGCCACATTCATTTTTTATTATATTAAGTCAGTTTTACTCATTTATTTTTTAAATTTTATCTTTATTGTTGGAAGTATTACAGATATCCCTCCCCCCACCCCCATTTACCCTCCCTCCCTCTACTCCCATCTCCTCCCAAGGCCTTCCCCACACTACTGTCTCTCCATGGGCTATTCATATCTGCATATAAATTTATTGGTTAATCTCTTCCTGCCCCCCCAAGTCAAGTTTTATTTTTTAATGTTATATCTTTTATTTATTGCACTAACCATCCAATGTCCTAATTCATGCTATTTCTGAATTTAGGTCATATTTTCTGGAGTTTGTCAAACTATTTAGTCCTCACTATCAGGAACATTTTAGCACCAGGTGGCAGCAAAATCTGAGAGCTGACATAAAATTCTTGGCAGGAAAGTAAACAACTAATTAAGAATTTATCTTAAACCTCAAGATGGCTAATAAGGAGTAGCAAATGCATTTCTTCCCCACTCCCCTTGTTTCTATTTAGATATCTCCCTCCCTCTCATTTTAGTGAGTGATTATCCAAATTGCGTATATACCCTCCCCCTACCCCCATACACTCACATATACCCTTGCAAACACAGAGAATCCCCCCCCCCCCCAGCCAGCCAAGTGGATTGTCATGGTACTTAGCTTCAAATGGACAAAAACTAGAACAGCCCAGAGCATAGAAAGCCAACAGAATAAACCAAATTGGAGTCTGTTAGGAAAATCCAGGATCTAAAGGAACAGAGAACAATTTCAAACACCAATTCCAACCAGCCCAAAGCAGAACCAAAGTCGGGTAACTTAATGAAACAAAGAGGCGATGTCAAGCAAGAACAAGTCAAAACGTAACAGTAACTCACCTTTAGAGGTCAGCGAGGGCAGGTGCTTGCTCGGTCATTTTGAACGGGCCTAAAGAGACAAAGAAACGAGTCACGCTTTCTTCTGAAATGTCTCCAACTGTTGACTACATCACCTCTACAAGATTCTCCATTCTTTTTTTTTTTTTTTTATATTTTATTGATTTTTTACAGAGAGGAAGGGAGAGGGATAGAGAGTTAGAAACATCGATCAGCTGCCTCCTACACACCTCCTACTGGGGATGTGCCCGCAACCAAGGTACATGCCCTTGACCGGAATCGAACCTGGGACCCTTGAGTCCACAGGCCGACGCTCTATCCACTGAGCCAAACCGGTTAGGGCAGATTCTCCATTCTTTACGGGGCTGGCTAAAGAACAGAGTTCTGGTGTCCTTCTCTGATTTTACCCTGAACTTGCTAGGTAATCCAAACTGGCTGTATCAAGCCTGAGGTGACTCCCTCATCAGGGGAGAGTTAGTGCTAATCTAGTCTTGCCAGAGGACACGGTAGTGATTTGGGATGGCAGGTTCAATTTGCGCTTATTTAAGAAGCACTGCCTTAGTCACCACAGATTTTATCTTGCTAGAGCCTGGTCCTTAAGCTGTCAAATTGGATAGAGAGGCATACTTTTTAAACACAAATACAAAATCATCTTAAAGTCCACTAACCAGAGTTTTTAGTTGGAAAGTAACTCAAAATTGCCAAGCAACTTTACTTTCAGAGGCTTCCTTAATCATCCTATACTTCCAAATAGTATTTTTCAATAATTATATTTTGTGAGCCTTTTATCCAAAACATAGGTGTTAGAGCTTTTAGGCATTTCCAATCCTTTTTCCTACTTGTTATAAAGATTCACAATTCAGTCCTTGGAACATGTATCAAATTCTCAAATTAGATACCATCATCTGAAGAATCTCTAAAAGGTTTGAAAGGGGATTTGTTGTAATCTTTCTTTAGTCCTGAAGCTTTCCACACAACTGCATATTTCACTGTATGTCTGTAAAATGAATGTTCACGTCATATGTCTGAAGACAAACAACAGTCTTTGTTCCATGGAGCATTTCAAAAGATTCACAGCTGTTAATAGGTGGGAGAATTCCAGCTTTTGCTCTTGGGAAGAAAGGAACCATTGTGGTCAGTAACTGTGTCTCGGAGAAGTAGCTGTATTTATTTCTAGCCTTGCAAACCAAGAGGTGGACTGTCTGCACAGAGTGGATATTTGTGGACAACTAGCTACAGGATGGAATCAAAGTATCCCATGCTAAAGGGGTTGCTAGTTGCCCAGAGAGGCCTCAAAGTGTCCTGGTGTGATTTCCATGTTCCTTTTCTTTTCTTTTCTTTTCTTTTCTTTTCTTTTCTTTTCTTTTCTTTTCTTTTCTTTTCTTTCCTTCCTTCCTTCCTTCCTTCCTTCCTTCCTTCCTTCCTTCCTTTCTCTCTCTCTCTCTCTCTCTCTCTCTCTCTCTCTCTCAGGTGGATACCCACTAACACATTTATTAACTTATAACCAGGGGCTTGGATCCTCTGATAAATATATTCTTCACTTATAGACAAATCTACATAGAAAGCCTGATTATTATCAAAAGTCTGCTGCATATAAGCATAGACTCAGAACAAGGGGAATTAACACACGAGTCCAGTATTCAATAGCATTAGCTTTGAAATATAGCCCACAAATCTAATGAACAAAATAAACTGACGAACAAAATAGATCCAGAGACATAGAAGCATAGAACAGACTGCGGAATCTCAGAGGGGAGAGAGAACGGGCCAGGGAGAAAGTGTGTGGGTGGGAAGTGATCAACCAAAGAACTTGTACGCATATATGCATAACCCAAGGACACAGACAATAAGGTGGTGAAGGCAAGGGATGGGGCAGGCTAGAAGGGGTCAATGGGGAAAAAGGGAGACATATGTAATACTTTCAACAAAAAAGATCATAAGAAAAAAAAGCAAGAAATATAGCCCAACACACTTGTCTCCATAAAGAACAAGACAGATGAAATCCCTCACAGTTTCTTTATCTAGACTTGATCTAATGACTTTTCTAGTTCTGACCTTTTATATTCAACTTCAACTTGATTTCCATTTTCTTCTGGTGAAAATGGAAGCATACTAGGAACTCAAAGAGTCAGACAAATCACAACAGTAGAGAATTGTGGCTCATGATATGTGAGCAGGAAGTAAGAGTGCCCTTAATTGCTTTGCATGACTTCGTTAATGTAAAAACACTGAAACCTATAAAGAATTTTTGTGAGTTTATTTGAGCCAAACTGTTGACAATTCTCTGGAGATAATGCTCCAGAGAATGGCAGGTTTTCATCTCTTTTTATACATTGCAATCAAAGGAGGGGACATAGGTGGGTTACATGAAATCCACTGGTGATAGATTAGAGAGGCAGGAGAAAGCAAAGGGGGGGAGGGGCCTGTGATTGGATAAAAAGTAAAATGATAGACACATACTTAGGTGGGTACAGAATAGTCAACAGTCAACAATTAACATGATAACAATAACAAAGAAGGACCCCAATGGGAAGTTACAAGTTACCCAGACATTTCAAGGATATGTTATAATAGATGCAAAAAGACAGATAGGCTCAGTTAAGGTAAAGGTTGACCTTGTCAGTGAAGATACCAGCCTAGGATGTAACTACCCACCATAACTGCCTTAGTTAAAGTTTGATTTCAGACCATTCTTTGTGGCTCTTTTAGGTCGCTGGTTTGCAAGACTGCCATGCAGGCCTTCCCTGAACTTGTCAGGTTAGCATATGGCCCCTTTCGTCCACACTTTATTTTTTTTTTAATTAAATCTTTATTGTTCAGATTATTACATTTGTTCCTCTTTTTTCCCCCCATAACTCCCCTCCTCCCAGTTCCCACCCCAACCTCCGCCCTCACTCCCCACCCACTGTCCTCATCCATAGGTGCACGATTTTTGTCCAGTCTCTTCCCGCATCTCCCACACCCCTTTCCCCCCCCAAGAATAGTCAGTCCATTCCCTTTCTATGTCCCTGATTCTATTATAATCACCAGTTCATTCTGTTCATCAGATTATTTATTCACTTGATTCTTAGATTCACTTGTTGATAGATGCATATTTGTTGTTCATAATTTGTATCTTTACCTTTTCTCTCTCTCTCTAAAGGATACCTTTCAGCATTTCATATATACTGGTTTGGGGTGATGGACTCCTTTAGCTTT